TATACAGTCCTAAAGAACATATATTTTGTATAAATAAAACAGACCTACTTTATTAATAAAAACCTTTGTTTGCACTGTGGCTCAGTGAAGTATCAGCTCAATAATGCATGTGACGGTGCTACTTTGAAAAAACTCTGCAATTATAGGCAATTTGTTTTGTTTTCCTGTCATCATCATCATCATCATTGCAACCTTTTTGAGGAGGAACGATTGATGACAAGTTTGAAAGGGTCCTATTGGATATTTTTTATGGCTTTGAAAGTTGTGCTTGGATGTGGATGCAGTTACCATATATTGTTGGTGTTGCTCAACTTGTTACTTATTGTACTATTTGTGATTCTTCATTGTTTCATTTTTGTTAATAAACGTGTTGATATTCAGTTAATTTATTTCTTCATTTCGTGAACTCCCCCTTCCCTCCATTCTTTCTCCTAGCCCCCGAACACATTTTAAGCACAGAAGCTTTCCTTGCTTCAAGCCCTGATAACCTGATGTTTTTTTTTCATTTGGGTTTCACAGCAGCAGAACTTGAAGGATTCTTCAGGTCCTTACTGCATTTTCTCAACTCATGCTAGGTCTCACTTCCTTTTTGTCATCCTCTGAGAAACTTCATCTCTTCATTCAATTTCGGCACTGAAATTCAGGCTAGGAAGGGTTTTTCTCTCTTTCTCCTTCTCTCTGTCTCTCGTACCCAGTCATATTTCATTCATACACATGCCTCCCTCTCTGCTGACAGAGGTCTATGAGAAGTGAGAAAATCCTGATCTGTAGTGGAAATGCATTAAGATAATGGAGCTCTTTTGTGTGGCCTGTCGTGCTGCCTGGCACACAATCGCATGAGGATGATTCATGCCACAGTAGCAGCGCTCCACTCTCACACCAAATGACCTCTCAACGAGCAGCTGTTTGTTCCACTCAATTTGACTAACTGAAAGAAAGGCGAGATAAGGCCTGCTGCTCTTCAGCATCAATGAACCACTCTCATCATTTGAATATTTTGACTTATAGCATGTTTTTCAACGGAACTATTGTCTGGACACTTTTGTTGGTTCTGAGAAGGTTGAGGGTTCTTTCTTGTTTTAACTGCTAGAAACATCAAGAAATAAAAGCACTAGTGCACAGAAGCATCAGAGCCAGATGAGAATGCTGTTGAGATTTGCCCACTGCACAAGATAGAGCCCCCAAATTATAGAAATGTGAGTATGCCTGATTACTTCCAGTCCAGTGCTGCCTCTGAGGTGACTTTTACAGTTGTTTGACCTGTTAGAAGAGACTTGTTTACCTCTAGTATGAGCATTCTTACAACCCCATTTCCAAAAAGGTTGGAAGGCTGTGCAAAATGTAAATAAAAACAAAATGCAATGATGTGCAAATCATTTAAACCCTGTATGTCATTGAAAATAGTACAAAGACAACATATCAAATATTGAAACTGAGGAATTTTATTGTTTTTTGAAAAATATATGCCCATTTTAAATTTGATGTCATCAACATGTTTCAAGAAAGTTGGGATGGGGATGTGTCACCACTGTTTTTTATCACCTATTCTTTTAACAACACTCTGTAAGCATTTGGAAACTGAGGAGACCAATTGCTGTAGTTTTGAAAGTGATATGTTTTCCCGTTCTTGCTTAACATAGGGTTTCAGACGCCCAACATTTTGGGGTCTCCTTTGTTGTATTTTTCATTTCATAATGTGCCAGATGTTTTTAGTGGGTGACAGGTCTGGACTGCAGGCAGGCCAGTTTAGCACCTGCCCTCTTTAATACAGAGCAATGCTGTTGTAATACGTGCAGAATATGGTTTGGCATTGTTTTGCTGAAATAAGCAAGGCCTTCCCTGAAAAAGAAGTTGTCTTGATTGCAGCATATGTTGCCAAAACATGTATATATCATTCAGTATTAATGTTGCCTTCACAGATGTGCATGTCACCCATACCATGCGCACTAATGCCCCCCTGAACTATCATGAATACTGACTTTTGAACTGTGCACTGATAACAAGCTGAGTGGCCTTTAGCTCGGAGGACAGTGTCCATGATTTCCAAAAAGAATTTCAAATGTTGATTCGTCGGACCACAGGACACTTTTCCACTTCCCCTCAGTCCATTTTAAATGAGCTCGGGAGCAGAGAAGCTGGCAGCATTTCTGGATCATGTTTATATGTGGTTTCTTCTTTGCGTTTTAGAGTTTTAACTAGCATTTATGGATGCAGCGACGAACTGTTTTCATAGACAGAGTCCATGCAGTGATTTCCACTACAGAATCATGTCCCCCATACGGAACATTAGTATAGAACACCGTGTTAGCATGTGAGGCAGATAAAAGAACATCATAAATGTGCAATTCAGTAAAAGTTGTTTTTAGTGTGTTGCCGTCTTGTAATTAATGTGGCAACAAAGAATGAAATTACATGTCCCACAAACTTACTGTCCAGCTTAGCTGTATGCCTTCTTCTCTGAAGCCATTTCACCTGTTGCTGTTGAAGCGGCTGGTGTCACGTTATGTTTGTATGTGGGCTGAGACAGGACTTTACTCAAGTGTTTTTTCCTGAAACTTGAAGTTGTTTTGTCTGAAACCTGTGGTCTGAGGATGTCCTAAAATGTGCACCATGCCATATGAGTGGCTTTTTATACAGGCATGTTATCTGCCTGCAACATCTAGCATGTTCAACCTGTGCAGCCCAGTGGCAGCATTGTACAACAATCTACATGTTAGGTACAAGAAATGTGGTATTAATGTAAAATGTCACATCACCAAACATTTTTCACGTATAGTAATACTAGAATCTTCCATGAAGAAATAAATAAATGATTGGGTTTGTAAACTGGTGATAAATTAGTTTTTATCATCACTGGGGGCTGTTACCAATTAGGGACGCATTGATACTGACACTGTTATTGGGTATCAGGCGTACTCGTACTCATAAAAATTCACTGATATCAACATTCCGATACCTGCTTTGACGTAAGCCAAGTGTACTTTGCCACACTAATGAACAAGCGTCTGTCATGTCAAACATTCCGTCCTGGCAGATTCTTGCCAGGAATACACTGTGATTTTTAGCCTGTTTTAAACACACCTGGAGACATGCAGTACAACTAAACGATGGTGGAAAAAAATTAAGTTGACATTTACTACCAAAGTCTATCTATGCTGACTTTACTCTGTTTTACTGAATAGAGTAAGTGTAAGAGGTAACGTTAATATGGTGAATTTTTTTTGTGAAACAGGCTTTAGAGAGACTGTATTGTCCTACTGTGTACATCACCGCCTAGCTTCAGTGCACAGCGTTAGCAGCGCTGCTCAGGTTCTCTTTGCTCTGTACTCGGATGCACAGCATGTTATTTTGAATTAAGAAGCTTTATTCGAAAATGTCCATAGATTGAGTTGTCTGTAGAGGCTGCGTTTCACGTGTAAATCCTAGGCTTTGTCTGTACACGATGGTCTATTCAAATGTACAATGCAAGTCACTAAAGAACAAGATTTCTAAAATCGTACAGTGTATGTCTGGCTTTAGAGGACGTTCAGCTTCAGCTCAACCTGACAAACAAAACACTCCCAACAAGACGTCAAACTCGAAATGTGCACTCATTGGATGCGTTAGCCTCGGATGTGATTCTTGCTGTCACTGTGCTACAGAGACTGTTGTTGAAAAAGAGAAATGAGGACAAAAACTATGACTTGTACTTAACTTACAGCTGTACCGCAGCGCTTTTCTGCTTTGTTATTCACAAGTCAGTTATGGAATGCACTGAGTGGGTTTGTCTGCTCCCTGTCGACAAGGTTTCTGTGTCTCCATCTTTACAATCCCGGTTCAAAGGTATATGGCTGAGCTGTGACTGGTATTTCTGTTGCCAGTGCCAAGTATTTTGCGTTGTAGAGTTGTTTACGTTGCCATAGCAACACCACTGTCAATCGCCATGGAATCTGAAAAACCCACACATTCTTTGTCTGGCAGAGCAGTTGTTTGTCTGGCTTTAAACTCAGTTTGAGTTTATTTTTTTCAGTATTTTAAGTTTTTTGAGAACAAGAAGCAAAATGTTATTAAAAGATGAATATGTACTGTATATATTTACTTATATTTATTTTCTTATAACTTAATTCTCAATGTCTGTCATTATAGACACATCTAAAATGCTGTAGTGTTTTACACTCGTTAATAAACGAGTATCTGGTTAACTGCGGGGTTGAGGAAACATGAAAAATGACAAAAAAAGGTACTTCAGCTAAAATTAAGGTAGGGCTGGAACTGGAGGCTTACTTTTTTAAGTGATGGCACTGGTTTTACAGGGCTGAAAAAGTACTGCAAAATCTAAGCAGCAAGCAGAGGCATACATTTAACAACATGTTGTATTATTCCTAAAAGCCAAGGAAAAATCAGTCATTTTTGTGTTGGGTGAAACCAAGTCTGCCTCTCCAGATCCTGATCTAGAACTATGGCTAAATGGTACAAGACATTATGCTTATGAGGACTTGTCGTAGACATGTTTTCTCCTTAGGGGACAACATGTTAGTTTGTCAGAGAAATATTTCCACTGTTTCTGGATCTAGCTAATGTCAGCTAGAGCAGTTAACATTTTAAAAACATGCTACATCTGCGTTCTCAGCAACGCGCTCATTCATGCTGCTTCAAAGCACAATTTTATTTATATATATATATATATATATATATATATATATATATATATATATATATATATATATTGCTGTCCTGTTAAAACATGAAAGTGGCGTTTCATTGAGTTGTTCGTATCTATATCAGTCTGTTTTTCATCTTCTTGTACTAAAATTGAAACGAGTACCTGGATAATAATTTCGGTATGTGAATACTGGCAACTTGATTGATTAACCAAGTGCTTGAGTACATATGCATATCCCTAAATTATAGTTCAGGGTTCAGGAGCACTATTAAGTGTACAAAGATACAATGTAAATGACTTTAATGTAATGTAACACTAAATGGTCCACTTATAGATATCTCTCCTGTGTTTATAACAGGTCCCTGGATGGGCGTCTTCAGGTGTCTCACAGGAAAGGCCTCCCTCATGTGATCTACTGTCGTCTGTGGCGCTGGCCTGACCTTCAGTCCCACCATGAACTGCGCGCTGTAGACCTGTGTGAGTTTGCTTTCCACATGAAGAAGGATGAGGTGTGTGTCAACCCCTATCATTACCAGCGTGTGGAGACGCCAGGTAAGCCCTCTACACAGGAATGTGTGTTGTGTAAGGAAAAGTGCTTTACACTTGTTAACATTCTCGAGCTTTAATCCTCTTTATCAAGTGCTATGCTGTTCTATAGTTAGCCTTATGTTGTTTTGTCCTTGATTAGGAGTTGACTTGTGTATCTGTGTGCAGTTTTGCCACCTGTGCTGGTACCCCGACACACTGACATCCCCGCTGAGTTTCCCCCACTGGATGACTACAGCCATTCTATCCCTGAAAACACCAACTTTCCTGCTGGCATAGAGCCTCAGATCAACTACATACCTGGTTAGTGAAAAACAAACACACACACGGTCACCCAGACATGCAGTTGCGTCTACTCGTGCGCTCTTATCTTCATGACTCGCTTAGTTAAACTGTTTAGTCAAAATTAAAGAGTAGGGTCTAGGCCCTTAATAAGCTTAGTAAAATTGGGTAAGACACATTGAAGTGACTGACTTGTTTCTTCCCTTTTCAGTGAGACCCAGTCTCCTCATGTTAGGTCACATGCTCTGATCAGTGATTAGAAATTATATTTATATTAGCTTCTGACCAATATGTGATTTGTAGCACCAATCAACAGCGTTCTTTCAAGGTGATGGTTCTCATTCTGGAAGTGGAAGTCATTAGAGGTCCTGTGATATGATATTGCAAAACCTGAACAACTTTCAAAGACTTGAAATATGATGTCCTTTGTCTATCCCATTTCAGTGTTTTCATTAAAGCAAAACTGTATTAAAGTTGATAAAACTAGAGTTTGATACCACAGCAGAAGCAGAAATGCCATTAGGCATAATTATTTATGAACCAGTTTATTAAAACTCACAATAAACAAGCACTTCAAATGCTTAAAGCCAGAGCACATCGACCAAACATTCTGAAGAGAAAAACATTCATGTTGGTTGTCTTCACAATGTCGAGTAAAAGAACTGGCAAGTTAAATGAACCAATGTGAATGGGAGCGAATATCCTACTACCAACAGTCACACGATTTTGTTTTGGTTTTGGTTTGTTAGGTATGTGTGCAACATCAAATCATATGCAACATGATGGTCAGCACTCTCAAACAAAAAAGGCAGTAGGTGTTTCTGTTTTTTTGATGGTGTGATTTAACTAACACCCCAAATATTTGATGGTGTCGGTTGCGGACTGGGTTTTGATGCTGTATTTCTTTGCTCATTTGCATCAAACTTAAAATATTTACATAGATTTTTAATGCCTTTTTAATACTAGATGGCAACTCAAACTGTGGAAAACCAAAACAAATTTTGGTATCGACTTGGCACTGAAGTACCAGTACCTTTTGACAAAGCAACTAGACACACAAACTCCCTCCCTGCTTTTACACATTTAGCAGATGCTCTTATCCAAGGCAGTTTGCAGTGGTAGGTGAGTGTAGCATTAGAAGTCTTGCCTGATTGGTATAATAGTGGTTATACCCATAACAACTTTTTGTTAGGTATTGATACTGTTTTTTTCACCCAAATTGTTCCAATTTTCTTTATTTACCCCCCCCCCTTCTGGAAGTATCAAGTACGTGCGATTCGAGATGTTTATAAGAAGTGTAAGTAATTGTGTTGACCATGTCCCTGATCACTTGTCGTTTCAGAGACGCCTCCTCCAGGGTACCTCAGTGAAGATGGTGAGAGTAGTGATCAGCAGATGAACCACATGGACACAGGTCAGAGCTCCTTCCTCCCATTCCACATTCCTCTCTGATTAGAATCTGCTCACAATAACTCAGATTACAGGCTGCTCTCTCATTCTAGCATGTTTCTGCAGGTTCTCCAACCCTATCGCCCAACCCTGTCTCCCCTGCGAATAGCAACCTTGGTAAGAGCCACCCTTGACTACTTATTCAACACTAATCCTCACCATACATTATGCAGCCATGTTTTAAATAAGTTATGTCGAAGGATCCCAGAATTTAAATGCAGAAATCTTTCTTTCAGTTCAGGGTTGATTTTAAAAGTAAGAAATGGAAATCCTTCAAATGATCTCCCTTCCTGAAAACGAAGGTATGCTTGAGATGAGAGAGATGGATAGATTAGGTCTTCCGCTCTCTGAGCGCTGCTTTAAATCTAGCTGGATTATCGGTGACCTGTCATCTTCATAACGAGTGCGTGCCAGGTCCTGCACAGAGTGATTAGTGAGGCCGGAAGTGCGCCTCCGCGGGCCTGTGGGTGTGCCGCTGTTAGTGAGCATGTGAGTAATGGCCCCAACATGTACTTAACAGTACAGCTAGAGGAGCTGACCTTGGGGAGGAACCTTGAGGCCCTGAACCCAGAACACACAGTGTCTTTGTAGGGACATTTTTCCCCCTGGAGAATATCTAGCTTGTTGATGATGGTTTTTTGTCAGTTAAATGTGTGTTTTGAGGGCTGAGCGTGTGCATGTGGGTGTGTGAAGGAAATGAAGTAACAGTAAGAAGAATGTTTGCTGGTCAGTTGTTTGTTACTGACTTGTGATGACATCAGGACAGGATGTTTTTGTGTGTGTGGAACACTGTCAGACTTCCTTTCATATCACTGATATTCAGGTTGTTGTGATTTATTTAGAACTTATGTGTACACTAGTACGTGCACCATGCTGTGTGTGTTGAGTTAAGGAGCCCTAGTCTTCAGAGGTCATAGTCTACAAGGATTTACCTCTGTGCTCTAAGAGGAAGCCTTTTATGAAAGGAGTCTTTGTTTTGTGTTCTCTCTGTGTTCTCAGACAGCCCAGGGTAAAGTAATGATAATATTGTGCAGCGTTATTCTAGCTCTGTTCTAAACCACTGGGGAGGCCCATTGTATAAATAATAAATAGCCGATTTCACATGGTTATGTGATGGTTGTAAAGGACCCGACCTGTGGAAGGAGGACTATATAACCTAGGTATGTTGTCTGAATGTTTATATTAAAGTGCAAGTTTGTGTATTTTTGCCTTAATAGCTATTTATTAGGCCTGATTGCAATTTATGCTGTCTGCAGTTAATTTTCATAGTTGTTGGCTTTCATGTGTTTAGATCATTTCAACAACCATAATGTGAATTAGGTTTGTTTCTGTCTGTTGGGCTGAGGTAAATTCACGTGAATTAAAGAAAGTAGTAAACGCATTTATTCAGACATGCCATGGATCTTATAAAAACAAGAAAAGTTCCAATTTCTGTCTGGTGCTAGAACACCTTCAGAGGGCAGCAGTGTGTAATGCTTGTTTATTCGAAGTAACAGCTTTGAGGGGGGGGGAAAGATGATAAAAAAAATAGACAATTAAATTGTTGATCTCCGTATCCCATCCGATGAGATGCAGTGGTCCCACACATGACGTGGTCCCACACGTCTTTGCTCTTTCAGCTTCAATAGCCTTGTGGAAAGTGGTGCAGTTTGTTGCACTTTGAGGCAAGGTGATGTGGATTCAACTAAACCAACCATCATTTAATTATTTTTACATTTTTCTCTATATAGCATTCTCCTTTCTGTCTAAAGGCTTTTTTCTGCTCTCTTCTTACTATCTGTTGTGTGTGTTTCAGACCTGCAGCCAGTAACATACTGTGAGTCAGCATTCTGGTGCTCCATCTCATACTATGAGCTAAACCAACGTGTAGGAGAAACCTTCCATGCCTCACAGCCCTCCCTAACTGTAGACGGCTTCACGGACCCCTCCAATGCTGAGCGCTTTTGCCTGGGCCTGCTATCCAACGTGAACCGCAATGCAGCTGTGGAGCTCACTCGCAGACACATCGGTACCACTTTCCATTTAGACCTCTGTTTTGTCTTTGGCTGAACGCGTAAAGCTTAGCAATTATCACAGATCTGATCTGGTAATGTTTTTTCAGTTAAATATGTGCTCAAGGAGAAATTTAGACTCCCGCTCTCTTGCTTTCTCTTTTCCTGAGGTCGGGGAGTGCGGCTGTACTACATAGGTGGAGAGGTGTTTGCAGAGTGTCTGAGTGACAGTGCCATCTTTGTCCAGAGTCCAAACTGTAACCAGCGTTATGGCTGGCACCCTGCCACTGTGTGTAAGATTCCCCCAGGTAAGCTGCACACATCATATTTACAGTCTGACCTATATATAAATTGACATACAGAATTTAAGAAGCTAAAACTTCCATTAACCATTTAAGGCTCAATGTTCTGCTGCCAGCGTCGTGTTTGAACTTAAATAACTTGAAACCATTTGAGATATTAATGATCTTCAACTTCCTTGGTAAACTAGAGAAGCTGGTCTGCGTGCCTTTATTTTGTGTTATATATCCCTAATGAAATCCCAGGCCTGATCTACACTACATCTCTGGCAGTATCTGTATTGCCTGCCCATTAGATCACAGTGTGTCCAGATTGATTTACAGTGGCCTTTTTTTTTTATTTTATTTTTTTTCTCATCGCTTGGAAGCAAATCAGGGGATTAAATCCACCATTCAGCAGATCCAATTAAAAAGTAGGGATTTAGATTTACACACTCTCCCACAATGCGTTTCAAGATGTGACTACCAACACATCAGACTTTTGAAAAACAAGTCAGATGCTAAAAAACTGCACATACTTTGAGGGCAGCGATGGAAAGGCTTCAGACAGTTAAGAAATGTCAGGAGTGTGATGTGGCCATGTACAGCTAGATCACAATACATACCACCATAAACTAAAAATGTGACTTTCAGAGGTTTAGAAAGTGATTTCCTTTTTCGGTTATTTGATTCAAATTGTTTTGTCTATGTTTATTTTTTATTTTTTTTGTGAAAACATGATCATTTCTGGTTTGTGTTTTTTGGGCTTTGCTATCTTTTTTACTTGTAGAGTTAAAATTATATTTAAAAAAAAAAAAAGTTAAAAATCAACAGCCCTAAAAGTGAAACTGATATCAGCTCATATAATTTTTAATATGGTCAAAAATTAAACAGAATCCAATAGTTTGAGTTAAACATTGTAGTTTTACTGCTGTACTTAATTATATGATTTGTCAGTTGTCAACTGTATATTGTTAAATATGAATTTTCCACATTCTAAATCTCACATAAACAGCAGAAACTGTGTTAAATAATATGAGTATTATGGGGGGACTTAGTATAATTTTTAGTTTTTTGTGAAATTGTCTTGTTTTTCATCGGTTTTGGTGTAATACTCCAGCTAAATGTAAAATTGCTACTTCAAAATGTGTTGAACAGGTAGTGACCATCTTCCTAAGCTCAATTTTTTTTCACTGAAGCTGATAAATTTGCGTGGCATCAGTATTGACCGATATTATTGGTCAACCATCTGAAGTCAGGCCTTAGTCGTATCAGCTGTTATCGAGAGTATGTGCACATCCTGTGAGTCATTCATGCATGCAGCTCTCATGCTTCCTCAGTGTGTGCCACAAGGTTGCTCAAATTTTGGTTGTCCCTTCACCCCCACCCCCACCCTCACCCTCCCTTTAGGCTGTAATCTAAAGATCTTCAATAACCAGGAGTTTGCTGCTCTGTTGGCCCAGTCGGTGAATCAGGGTTTTGAAGCTGTGTACCAACTGACCCGTATGTGCACCATCCGCATGAGCTTCGTCAAAGGCTGGGGAGCAGAGTACAGGTAAATATACACACACTGAGCCAATGAACTATCTGAGCTGTAGCAAAGCCAAATGTGTGGTTGCTGGTTGGTTGACTTTGTGGCTGAGAGGTAGCTGAGCTAGCTTGTTTGGTACTAAGGGTCAGTGGGGAACTGAATGGGGAGGTAGAGCACGTGCGTCAAATGAATCTCTTATGCAATCCCTCTAGCTCCCTTGTCACATGTCATGGCCGAGGCCAGCATGAGGGGAGTGTGTGAGGAGTGACTCATGGAGTGTGTGTGTTGGGGCTGAAAGAACTGGCCATTCAGTTTACGCCATTCAACATTGGATGCTATGTTCACAGCTCCAATCCAGTGTCTCTCCCACCCACCTTTAAAACACATACACACCCTCTTAATCTCTCACTCTCTTATGCTTGCCTTTAACACACATACACTCTCAGTCTCTCACTCTTTTACTGCCTTACCTTCAACTTTAACACATATACGCCAGAAGCGTTGCTAGCCTCTGAAGCCACCCCCCAGATTTCTGATTGTTTTAAAAAAAAATACAAATTTGCCAATGAAGTCTGGATTTATTGCATCCTTATTACATTTTCCCATTTGAAATACGAGTCTGACAAAAAAACCTTTGACCATCACAACATAGGTGGATGCCGTCACCATGGAAAAGTTCACATGGCCTGTAAAAAGGAACAGAGTGACGCTGCCCTCCCTTCAATGCCAGCATGTAAACACAGCATAAGCTTGCTTCACTGTTTCTCTTCATAGTCAGCTGTGGAAATTTCTATAGGCTACTTGGCTAACTAGCAAGTTGTAATACAAGGAAACAAAGTTCTGGACTGAGAAAAAAGTGTCAAGAACATTGCAGTCTTCAACCATTCGCCCTAGACATCGACGCCTAGTGCTGTGTAAGGTACGACTGGTTAATTAGCCTTTACCTGCTGTAGTATGTCAGTTGTTACAGTAGCTAACGTTAGGCAGTGAAATGTGAGGTAAGCTGATGTGATTTCAATGTAATGTTCAAAAATGTTTTTTGCTTTGGTTATTAGTTATTTATTTAATAGTTTAGCTATAATGAAGTTGGTGGTTGTTATTCTCAATATAGCAGTGTCTCTGGATCTTTCTGCGGTTGGTGTAGCATAATGGGCAGTACCACTGCCCTCCACTCAGCAGAATAGGGTTGAACACCAGGTTACACCAATAAGAGTCCTTGGGCAAGATTCTTAACTCTACAATGTGTACAGTCTGTAACATGATTAAACTGTAAATCACTCTGGATAAGAGCATCTGCCACACACATAAATGTAATGTAGCCAAGCTCCCAATAACCAGGCTAAACCACTGATACACACTCAAGTCTAATTCAGCATGCATACCCTCTCATCCCTTACCTCTAACACACTAATTTTGTACTCTTACTCCCCCTGCTGTCCCCACCCTCGTCTGTTTTTTTGCTTTGTAAGTGTGGTTACTTGTGACTGACCAAATATTCATCCTAATGTGATGGTCACTTAAATAATTGTATATGTGAATTCCTGCTGGGTCATTTGTTCTCACACATTTAAGGTCCTACACATGCAGAAGTAGTGCACTGTGTTTGTGTGACAGGCTTCAGCAGATTCAAATTGCACATACTTGGTTTACTGAGCCTGTCCTGTGGTCAGATAAGAGGAGGAATGGTTTCCGCTTGCGGTCTCCTCTTCCCCAGAGAGAGAAACTCAAAGGGTTTTAACACAGCAGAGGTTTAAACACCTCTGTTCCTGCCCACACATCCTCTTGGAGGAAGAAGGTGGATTGTGGTAGACTGAGGGAGAGCTAAGGCCAGGTAGCTGGGTCCAGGTGTAGTCAGCTGACATAACTGTAATAGGAACTATATGAAGAGTCTAGTTTGCCGGGGCTACACTTTAACTGCGGTAAAGGTACACAGGATAGGAGAGTTTAAAGTGGAGAGAAGGAAAGAGGCAGCAGGAGAGCATTGTGTAACTGGGGAGGAATGCAGTACATGGGCGGGAGTGCGTGGGAGGGAGACATGCCTGTGTAGGAGGTGTTCACACACAGAGATGGAGGGAGAGAGGCTTGTTGCAAAGCAGGCACAAACAGATGTAGAAAAAAAGTCATGCAGTGTAAATGTATATGTTGGTCATATAAGGTCCTTATTTTTGTAGAAATATTTATAAAGGACCTAATTTTTTATTACATTATTGTTAGTCAAAGGCCTTCAATATCTGTTTGTGCCTTAGCTGCGTTATATCATAATAAATAATGTCCTTAATATTTTTTGTGTTCTCTAAAATTGTTGTACAATGATGTATTGTACAGTGATGATCTCTGTACTCTTGGCAACTCTTCTGGCCAGCATGGCCACTACTGACCAGTCTGGAGCTGCATGAAAGGACTTGTACTGCTAAAAGCGCTTTACTGACCTAGATTCCCCTCTTTTGCAGGCGCCAGACAGTGACCAGCACCCCCTGCTGGATAGAGCTGCATCTGAATGGCCCCTTGCAGTGGCTGGACAAGGTGCTCACCCAAATGGGCTCACCCAGCATTCGCTGTTCCAGTGTTTCATAGGAGTCGCCCATACCTCATGCACCATACCCAGGAAAAACACCTAACTGACGACACCCAGGACCCTCCTCCCTCCTGCAGACCAGCAGAGGAAACACAGAAAGGGGAGGATGGACCGAAGTTTCCCCAGCAGAGAGTCACTCCACTATTTACCAGTCCCATCATTTCCACACATACAGTTTTGAGCACTTTCTACTGCTGATACCTGTATAGCATGGCTCATACAGCTATGCACCACATAGATATCTAGATTCATTCTGATCATAAAAAAGATATATATTTTTATTTTGTTTTTATATATATTCAACAGTTAAAGCCTAGCTTAAAACATGAGGAATCAAACCTTATGAAGTTTAAAGATTTTTCATATTCATTGAAAGAGTACATGAACTCAATATTATTTTCTTGTTAATAAGCTAGATAAAGCTTATAGTACTTAAACTGTAATACTGTGATTGTCAGTATTCAGAGACACCACTGAGTGAGAAATGTGGTTTTTTTTTTTTTGTTTGTTTGTTTTTTGGGGGGAAATGATATGAATCTCTCAGGCCCAACAGTCTGCCCTGTGTTTTTGTCTTTAGCAGTCACATAAACCCTTAACCCCAGAGGGTTAGTACTGCTTTCCTACAGCCTTCAGTGAAGATGTTGCATATGATCCTATAACCCTAGCTCTTGGCTATCCTAAAGTGATCAGTAAGCTAGGTACGCCTTGTTGTTGTCGATGTGATGTGTTGAAGCTTGCTTGCTGTGTTGGGCTTGGAGGTATTGCACAGTTAATCTTCATGCACTGAGCAGTTCAGCACAATTTATAGGATGATTCAGTGTGGTTGACCTGGTTTATATTCTCTTCCTGGCAGGATTTGAGTGTATTAAAACTGTTTAACGGTACTTAGGCTAGTATAGCAGTACTACGACCATGAGAAGCACTTGTCCTTACTACTCTATCACAGAGTAAACACGTAAGTTTTGTCAATGTTGGAATTGGATTTTTGTCAGTGACAAAGTTAGTAGCTGAGTAGTGCCATTTTTCTTGAAAACTTTAGCTTGTAAAAGTAAGTTTGCTTGGCAGAAGAGTCACAGTAATTTTGTAATTCTTATTTTTGCATAATGACCGGACAGAAGAGTGCAGTAGTATATTTTTGATGTCTCATACTGAGGATTGTACATATGTTAAGAGTGTTTATAAGCAGCTTCTGTGTGGAGGGCAGATTTTCCCAATGAGCAGATGAGCTGCCGACCTGGGCCTCGCAAGGATAATTATTACTGTGTTAACAATGGCTATAGTATTAAATAGTGATTATTTTTGTTGTTGCTATGTGTGATAGAAAAGCTTTTGCGCTTTTATCATAATTGTAATTGTCTTACTTCTGTGCTGGTTGCACCCACCCGTGGTTGGTTTGTTCACTCCCATTCATGCACCTCTTTTCTGTTCCTTTTATGCGTGCCTAGCCCTTAACAAAATGTCTAGGCCTTGATAACTTAAAGTGGAATGCAGAAACATGCATGCAGCAGCTAAAGCTAGCCAAGAAGAATTCAGACAACCACGGGAAAAAAAAATTCTCAGTGTTTTCCTATGCTTATTATTACACATTGGTGTGGTGATGATGCCTGCAGAGATTCAATAGGGGCTCAACATGTTCTTTTTGCGGCCCTTTTCAGTTGTAGAGAGGGGAGAGAAGTGTCCCATATTTCTGATCCTTGGGATTTAGAACATGTGGACCCAGCCTGTCTATGGGTGACCGGACCAGGGGCCATATTTCTGAGAGTACAAGTGTCTGAGAGAGTACTGATTCAAAATCACTCCCTACCTTTTTCCTTTGTTTTGATACAAGAGAGGAAAACAGATTCTAGATCAGCTTTCTCATTCTGAGAAGTGTGATACATATGAGCCCTAAGAAACAGCTCTAGTTCAAGAAACGAGTGGAAGAAAAAACCAACATGCAGAACATAGGAATAGTCATGTGCTTACCACACGAGATGTGTGAAGGCAACCATTTCCACATTCTTTGGTTTCTTAAAAGCTTCAAAATAAATGAACTCACTGTACGTTATTTTCTATTTTAATGGCACATTAAAGGGATATTTCAAACTCAGGACCATGAGCCCAGTCAAAAGGTCAATTCTATTTTACTACCAGTTATTTTTGTGTAGAGAAAAAATGGATCTTGAAGCCAATAGCAAGAGATTTTTAATTAAACAAATATAGGGGTGAGGCAAGTACTGCTGGCAGCTCTTGAGGTGTACTCATATTTTTCTATAGAGGTTGATTTCTCAAGAGGATGCTCTCGTGTTCATGGCTGGATGTGTTTTTGAGCCAGGCCTGTCAGTTAAGATGGGTGCTTTTTATCTAATGGTCTGAACATTATGACTTCCTTGACTGGATTATTATTATTATTTGTTTTTATAGAAGTAAAATAGTGGATTAATTGCATGGTCTTGCAATTCCTGAATTTTTGTAAATGAGATCAGCAGTTCATTGCAACACATTGTATGTTTCGTTTTTTGAATGGACACTGTAGACTGCGGCCACCTCCTGTTGATAGCTCAGGCAAATACATGAGGAGATCATGTTCTCAAAGCTCTCATAAGCTTGCCTGTGAAAATTAGCTTTTCATGCAATGAACTTAAAATTTGTGTTTATGGGTAATATTGATCTTTGTGGTTGTTGTCTTCCCTCCCATTTAAACCACCTTACACTGTCCAATGCTGTGGACCCTTCTGGTTCTCCCTCTGTAACTCAATAGTGTCTGAGCATGTCATGGACTGTTGAACAGTGTTCGTTTAGGGTCGTCATTCTTGTTGAAATTCTGTTCAAATCGAAATACTGCTTGATAGTATCATGTTTTTTTTCTGAATTCCGATTTGGTGAAGCAAATATGAATTGTTTTGTCTTACGGGTTCCAGTACTTAATTTCTGTGCGCTTTCTCCATTTGTTGCTTAGATTTTGTTTGCTCTAAATGTGGTTTCTCTCTGCAGCTTTACCTACATAGGTTTTCCTTGCATTAACTGTTTAAGCTATTCTCTTGTATTGCCTCCTTTTGTTATCCAAGAATTTTTAATAATAAAAATGTTTATTTTAAACTGGATTTCTTGTCTAGCTCTTGCCATGCCCGTATGCAAAAAATGTACAATAATTACTTTTTAAATAATATACCGCTTAGTGCACCAGAAAAAACCTAAATGAATGGAGAGTGTTTTACTTGAAGAATGTTCATGATTTAATGTGACGATTAATAAAATAAAAGCTTACTTTGACAATTTACTTAAATGATCAGGGATATAACCACACTTATCCATAACTACAACCTTATTCATTCTGGACAAAATTACTGACAGCCCAAAAAAAGAAAAAGTTCAAAAACAAACCATGGAACACCATCAGTCTTCATAACAGTATACTCACACTAGACTAATCATGAATGTCCCATGCTTGAATCTGCAAATGTAGTGAGGAGGTTGTGCATGATCTCTTGCCCACCACACCCTCTCCTATCCATCTTAGATTATAGTGTTTAAAAGCCAGCAACCCATAATGGCTCTTCAGTAGGTTACTGAGGTGTTGGGGTTTGAGAGGATAATAACAGGAGTATCGTGATAAACCTCTCCGTCTCTGTCTCCCCCACCCCTTGTCCTCACATTTTTGATACCACAGAGTGGGGCGCGATGCTTGGTAGGTCCGCCTGACCTCAACGCTGTCTCGGGGTGTAGAGGGAAAAGACTGGGTGCTGGGGAACAGAGCCTGGGAAGGAAGCAATCTAGCTTTAGCTCTCCTCCCCAGAAGATAAACCATCAATCTCATCCTGGTCCCCACCAATTGCCATCCAAAATGCTTTGGCCACCTGATAGATGATAATTAACATAGCTCTATCAGCAACTACAATTACTTCATGTTTTATCATAGTTGTAGAAGATGTAAATTGGTGCCCTTACCTTCTCTGCATGCACCTTCCTTTGCTCATGTGGTAGTGAGGAAGCTTTATCTATAGCAAGCAAACAGACATGGGAAGAGGAATAAAATCATGCTCATGCTACAAGTCTCAAGTTACACCCTCAAAGCTTAAAAGGAAGCACTTCACAAACTTGTTGCCTCACCTTTCATCTCTTTCAGTTTGGTAAAGAGCCTCTCAAAATTCTCCACATCTGCATCTCCAGCGGTGAGGTTTGCCAACTCCTGAATGTCCATGTCAGTCATGGGGTCTATATGACATGTTGAATTTATTATCATTCATATTATCACACTGCATACAGCATGAGCACAGTTACACGTATGCACTCACCTACTAATGAGTCCACCACTTCTGTACTTTGGTGACAGCTTTCAGTCTTCTGCCCTTCTGTGTTCTCATCTACATTGATAGACTGGGACTGGAAAGGCTAAAATAAAAGAAAGTCAGTCATGTATACAATTTCAGTTATAAAATAAACTCTAAGTGTCAGGTTCTTTTTGAAAGTGTTTCAATCCCTTCATTATTGCCAAAAGAGTAATTATTAAATGTAAGATTTTTTTAAATCCTTAGTTATTTACCAGCTTTTTAACTAAATTCAATTTGTCATCCAATCAGTCAGATTCATACTGAAGAACGGGAGGCTTATTCATTTTCATTCAGTCTGACCTGTGACTCTGGCATAGGCCGTGGATTGTTGTGGCGAGATGCCACCAAACTGCTCATCAGACCGAATCCCTGATTGTGTTCTGGTGATAAAACAAGTGTGTTCAAGTGTGAATATTTTAAATATTTGGAATGACCATACTAATTTCACAATAGATGTGATAACTGCAGTTTTGTACATTTAGAACAGCCAAACCTCACCATCCTTCATCTCCACACTAGACCACACATTGGCATTGAGAGCCTGAACAATCCTCTTCACTCCTGTAGACTCTGGAAAGTCATCTGTTGTGAAACAAACACATGTAACACATAAGACTGTTGAATAGCTCCATATAAATATAAATGTAGTTCACCAGAATGTGCTGTACATGAGTATCTCATCTCTCTCACCATCCTCATCAGGCAGTTCCTGAGGGTTGAGCTCCACCAGTTCAAATGCATGAGCCAGGCACCACTGCTGAGCTTCATGTCTGCTCACACCTGCAACATTAGACAAAGGAACCCAACTTCAAAGTTAACAGCATGGCTACGTTACATACCACATACTGTAGGTCCACTGACTTAAACCATAAACTACAGAACTTTTTCAAGTTCTTTTTCATGAAACCCATTTATGACTAATCTTCTACAGCACTTGGTGTTTGCACTGCTTTAATATATCTGATTCACCTACTGAATGTTTTGACAATTGGCTGATGAGGTTTACAAGACTTGGCACTACTTCTGCAGCAACATCATTACTCTATATATAAAAAGCTGTTTAACAGCGAGACAGCACTCACCATTTTCACACACGCGGTCACACACTAGAATAAGCACCTCTGGAGCTAGATCATCTACCACTGACAACCATGGAGTGACACCACTAAGGCCATCTTTCTGTTAAACAGGGACATCCAAAGTCAGAAGCACAACAATTCAACAATACAAAGCAATGCAATGCAATAGAATTAAATAAAAGTTACAACTGAATACTTACAGTTTTACTATCAAAGTAGACAATGAAAGCCTGCATAGACTGGGCAACCTCTGAGTTCATATTAAATGTACTTGGCACAACACAAAGGCTGATATTGGCAGTATAGTATTTGTTGTTGATTGTCCATGGATACCAAACCACCACATCCTCCCTTTTTGTGGGTTCTGGTAATGACAATGTGCCCAGTATCTCTACAAAGAATCAGTAAAAGACTTACTTTAATATAAATCAATGTAACAAACACTGTATTACTTTCCAAAGACATACTGTACACCTATGGTCCTGATCCTGGAGATGTACCTTCCTGCAAAGTCTAGCTCCAACTGCAATCTGCCACACTTGTTCCACCTATTTAACCTCTTCAAAAGTCCTTGACTGGCTGGATCAGGTGCCTTAGTGTTACTTGAGGGGCAGAATAGCTCGTTAGACGCAAGTTGGAACTAAACTCTACAGGAAAGTACATCTCCAGGAGGAAGGTTGGTGACCATGGCTGTACACATTCGTACACCCTTTAAAACAGATGGTTCTTCATGGGTTCTTTAGTAAAGGGAATGTTTCTATTTAAAATCAGGAGTTCTAAATGTATTTGTAACAACAGAAGAACCCTTTTTGTTGTTATATGGAACTATTTTCAAAAAGATTCTATACAGAACCATATTCAACACAATCACCATCTATCTAAAGAACCATTTCACAATGCACATACTTTGGTTAGGGTTAACTCATGCACCCTTTACTATAGAGCTGTTTAAGAACCATCCTTTTTAAAGGTGTAGTGCAAGATTGTGAAAGTTTGTATTTGAAGTTCAACACTGCCTACTGCTGGGCAATAAGCTGTATTTCATATTTTACAAAGGCTGGTTCAACCTCAGTACCAGCCTCACTGGACGATAAAGTAAGGGAAAATGTATTAACTAACGTTAGGTTTTAACATGGTAACTTCACTGAACAGTATTTAATCTCTGATCAGACTGATTGCTTACACAAATAACCATTAGGACCGCTCAATGTATGAGTATCGATTTACGTACTGTAAACTAGTGGATAAAAATGATTAAAAACTAAGACATCAGGATATATGAACACCCACAGACTGAAGTAGCTTAAAACTGACAAGCCAACGTTTCACGGTGACATTAGACGAGTAACTATATAACGCTACAAAACTAAAGCTGGAAGTTATATAGCTAGACATTCTGACAGCTCTGAAGTGCTGGACGTTACCTAACTACAGACCTTGTTAGCTCAGCTAGCTACATCTTTAGAACTTGTGTCAGTCACATGAGCCGAGACAACCGCATTCACTTAACTTATCGATTATAATGAGACGAATTTACCGTCCCATATTTTTCCCGCTTGCTGTAGCTGACATTCTTCCATTATGATAAGCGTAACTAGCTGGCTAGCTTTAGCTTTAGCAGAAGAGACAAGCTAGCAATCCCAACTCACTTTTGCTAGCTTGCTAACTGTTAGCCAGTTTTCACCTGCTTTACTTACGTCTGACCAGCTCATCTTCTCTGAACCCCGAGTCAGAGCTTGTTATTACAACGCAAGGTAAGGTAGTCTTCTCATCCTCTCTGTCAGCCGACATGTCTGAAGCTTAAACAACAAAATATTCCCCACAGTTAACCGGCTAATCTCGCTGCTTCTCCGAACCTGCTGGTGGAGCCTTTCAACTCTGACCTCTACACTGCAGCGAGGCGGAGTGACGCGCTCACTACGCACTCTCCATTCATTCACATTCACGTTACTCCCCAGTTTTCACTGAGGGAAATAATGTAGTTACAAAAATGAAAAGCACAAGCAGTGTTTGTCAACATCTAATTATATGTTGCGGGAGCTTTACAAAAATCAGTTTAGTTGAACTAGGATACAATATTTACTGTGTGTTATGATGTTTTATGGCAATAAGATTGTCAATAAAAAAAAATAAATAAAAAATCGTACTCTCCATCACTAGCCAGAAAACAAAAACAACATGACCTTAATCAACATAAAATTTTACTTGGTTACAGAGAAAAGAAACTGCACAACATAATGAACAGCAAACAAAATCACTGTGGTTTTATCTGCAGAGAGTCCAGCCAGAGAACTAATCCAGCACCACGAGCTTTTCGTTGCTATAGCGACAGTAAAGCGACCGTTGTTACTATAGAGAGCGATGACAAACGGAGCGCGCATGAACTGTTTCAGCTACTTAACTAGCAAGTTAGCTAACTAATAAATATGATTAAAAGTTTAAAATGGAGCCGACAAATGAATGTTTATAAAGGGTTTAGAGAATGTCTGACATTCTTCACAAAAGAGACGAGCTTGGACGCATTCTGGTGCAGGTAACTTTTAAAACTGCCACCCCTTTGGTTTTCACAAAGATTTCTAAAGTTAGTGAGCTAACGTTAACAGTTAACCGGCTAGCGTTATCCGATACGTTGCTTGGTAAGTCCGCGACGTTTTGTCAATAACATTAATATTTACTGACTCCCCCATTTTTCTGTGTTTTCTGTCAGGTGCAGAATGATCTGACTGAGCTGAAGAAGAGTCTGGGTCGGGTAGCTGTGTGCGAGCAGGGCCAGACTTTGGACATTCAGGCGCTGGACGCGGCAATCAGCCGGACAGAGAATGGCATAAAGGTCATTTACTCTCTTTGTCGAGTGACAAATTTGGATTTGAATTTTGTAATACAGGTTGATGCGAGTTCTGAAAAACTAAATATTAAAACCACATTCCTGGAATTTGTTGCCTGGGAAACTTTTTGGATTAGCGATCTAGCTTAATTTTTTTGTCACTGGAAAATAGTCATCTATCCTTTTATAATGACCTGTACAAAATTACTTTAAAATGATTTGGGGTGGGGGTTGTGGGGAGCAATGCATTTGTTTTTTAGGGGGACAAAAGAATGAAAATGTAAAGTTAGACATCTGGAGTGAGAAATCCACAGACACAGGGCGAAAGACCCTGTTTAGCTAATTGCCTCAAAAATATTATTTACTTAGATTTTCATCATAAAGACGCAAAGTTGTTCATCATAAGGACACATAGTTGTTACACTGGGAGCTAGAAATAGTATTACTTTAATAATTATTTACATTTACCAATTAAATGTTACATGTGAAGAACATACACGCAATGTTGAATGCTATTGTTTTGTTAAAATATTTATTAGTGCTGTAATAATAATAATAATAGTAATAATAATAAACACTTAATGAAATAACAAAATATCTGTGTGTAATTATTATAATCACAATAACTAAATTAACAAAAATTGTTTCCATTTTATTGTCATTTGTCTTTTATCATAGTTTAATAAACTGAAGAGGAAGACATAAATTGACAGAGATCTCAGTTTCATTTTAAAATATACTGTTTTATCACTGTGTTTTGATAAATAACAGAATTTTGGAAAAATGTAAAGACTAGAAATAATGTGACGTAGAATTGATACATTCTGTAAAATGTAGAGTTGTTGCAACATTCACAAGGAGGGCTTTTTGCCGCAGGTAGTGGGCATCTTTTTTGTGTACTATAGAAACTGACTGCTCTTCCAGTTTATTTACACTAACTGTGTGTAGGTTTATGCATCATAATCCTGTACATGCTGAGTTCATGCACAGATAAGGTTAAACCTTACAGTGAATACACACTGTTCTTAGCTGGGGCATTTTCCCTGATTTTCCCCCCATTTTCCCATACAGACCACGCTTTATTTTTGTGATCAGCTAGATATAACCCTTATAACAGAGGTCACGATGATACCATAGCCTAGGAGCATCACTTCCTTTCCTGTGTTGTGAGATTTATGATCACCCATGTAATAAATGGCTAGTAATTACACTTAGGCAAAACACTGTAAAGCTGAAATGAGGTGACTTTTTTTGCATGTAATAAGACAAACTTATAATGAGTTGCTGAAACAGCTGCATATCTAAATAAGCTGGAAGAAAATGTGATTCATGAAACTTGATCCATCTATTTACCAGACAAATCAGACTATATGCCTAGAAACAGTCTTAGAAACAAAGTCCAAAACATTACTTAAAACTAGAACTTACTGTACTTTTAGTGGTTTTGAATGATGAACTTTTGTTATTTTTACAGACACGTACTGAGGAATATCTAAAGACTGTTAATAAACAAGTACTGACCCTTCCCATTATTGAAGAGCTTGAGAAGAAGACTAAGAAGATTGCCAAATGGTATAATCCTAGTCACAGTTTGATAGAACATATTTCTGCAGTATCAGAATTACTGTCTAGAGCACAAGTAAAAGTATTTGGTAAACTAGTCTTTCAATGTAATAGGCGACCACCCCTCGAGACCATTCCAGACGTGCGTCCTCAGAGGTACCTGACTGCTGGAACATCTCCTGGAGAGAAGGTGGATGTCCTGTATTTCCCAACTCTCAGAAACATTTGGCTCCTACTACGAGGTCACTGAAGCACAAAGGCAGTTTGTCAGTGTCCCATGTGTTTCTATTTCTCAACCAGCACAAGGCAGCATTTACCATGCGTCTGCTGTACAACCCAGCTCACCCAAAGAACAGAGACCTCATGCACCAGACCTACGGCATTCAGCTCCCTGACTTGCAGAAGAAAACGGGAACCACTGTGAGTCTTCTTTTCAACTGACAGTGATATAGGCTAATAATGGTAACTTTTTAAGTTTCAGAGGCCACTGATTAACCTTATCAAACATTTATCTATTCAGCTTAGCTGCCATGTGCTGTCAAGACATTTGAAATAATGAAGATTTTTTAGTACACTGTCAGGAAAAAGGTACTGTACAGGTACAGAAAAAGATAGAAACAATGAAAATGAACCCTCAAAGGTACAACAGCGTGTTCTTTAGATGAGTTTTAAATTTACACTATATTTACTATCCACATTTATGCTTTTTCATAACATTTCAAAATAGATAAATAAAAAACCTGGCATGAAGACAGGGTGTATGGAGTCAATGCAACTAAAAAATATAATTACAATGAAATATGGCAATATTGTGTTCCGTAACTGAAGATTAGTATTTAGATTTATGTAAGATTTAGTACTTTTTTTACTGAGAGTGCACTTTTAAACTGACATTTTACTATTACTTTACTATTACTTTATTCCCATTAAGGCAAAACATTGATGAAGTTAGACTAAAATTCTGAAAACTGAAAGTATATTTTACTAACTCATGTCAGAATGTTGTGGAGTTTCCCATTTTTGACAGGCTAATGCTCAAAGGCTTGAAAAGTTGTCACCTAAACAAATATAAATAGCATGTCATGCCAATATATGAATTTATTTTCAGAATTAACATTTTTAATTAATATTTCTTCTTGGAATTCTCCTCAAAAACATAGTTTTCGGCAGCCAACAAGGTCTCACGCTGTCATATGTGGAACTTCTTCTAGCCTGCTGGAAAATCATTCCACGTGGCGTCTCATGAAGATGCTTGAGAAAATGCATACAAAGATCTTTTTTAAAAACAGGCCACTGTTAAAAATCTAAAAGAATATAACATAATTTGATTTTTTTGGTTACTGCATAATTCCTTATTTTAGGTCATAGTTTGATTTCTTGACTGTAATTCTAAGCTGAGTAAAATAGAAGGCTAAAAATAAGGAAAATCTTTGTATGAGGATGTGTGTCTAAATTTTTGACCAATAGTGTATACGATATGTGGTAGGTTAAGAAATCGATTCAATTGTGCGCATTATTCCGTATTTCCCAGCCATTTTACAGTCAATGCAGCAGCTAATTAAGATGGATTCCCAGTAGTTATTTGATGGTGGCCGGAATTTATCTTATCTGACTGTAGCCTTAAACCCAACATATGTCACATGATTTTCCAAAGTAAGTGACGGGGCAGGCCAGTATTAACAGATGACTCTAGTCAGTATGCTTTCGAACAGGAGATGTGAATTGAAGGTCACTTGCTTTGGCAGTGACATTGAAAACGTTTGTTGGTAAACAAATTAATCTTTTCAAAGGTCACCATTTGTTTCAGTGCTCAGGGCTTTTTTTCCCCTTCTCCGTCTGCTTCGTCCCTCTATCTCTGTCGTCCTGTGCCTGTCATTTAGGGGGCTGAGGCTGTCAGGTTGCTGCGGTGGACAATGGTAGACTTGGCTGGCGAGAGCGGACAGCCGCAGATTGCTGCACATCAGCATTCTTCGGAGGAGGTGCCGGCGCCTGATTGCAGTTGTATGGGCTGCTGCTTTACAGCTGTCTCAGGACAGGTGCCGGTACCTGTTCCCGCATGCCAATAAGACGGTCGCTGGCGCACTGCCCACTGCCTTCAATGCCTCTGCGCCAGCTCTCCTCAGCGGCTCCAAAACTGCTCATTCCTGCTGTGGCTGTTTGTCGTCCTGCATGTACCGATTCCACAGCTGTGTGCCTTTCAGCGCACACCTGGCGGGCACTGGTAGAGTGTCACAGAGCTCAGTGGTGTGAGAACAGACAGGCCAGAAAGGCTGGAGGAGAAGGAATGAGCGATTTAGGAGGTCCATGTTCATTTTTAACCCTCATCCACTCACTGTGTGCCCTCTATAATATCTGAAACTAAGCAAACGCAATGCCCCATGCTAGGATTTATGTAGTTGCTAGCTACTTGTGAAAGACAGCAATGTCCTTATTTTTTGAATGTTCTTTCATTTCATTTTCATTTCATTGGTTCTGATAGGCTGTAAAATTGCTGTAGAT